GAGTGGGTGTCTTCGGGGTCCTCAACCAGCAGTGAGCTAGTCAGGTAGGTGAATGCCTGAGTGCTGGAGCCATACGGCCTAGGCTCAGGGATCTGTTCCACCTCAGTGTTCTCACCCATGAAAGGGGGATGTGCAAGGAGCCCATCAGGTTGTTATGAGTAGCCAAGCCAGCTGAGAGCTCAAAACAGTGCCTGGCCATCTGAACGCAAGTTTACTCTCGTTGCCCTTCCACAGGCACCACTGGGAAGGCTCCATCCCCACCACCCCTCCTCACTGACCGCCAAGTGAACGAGAAGGTGGAGAACCTCTCCATTCAGCTGCGGCTGATGACCCGGGAGAGGAATGAGCTGCGCAAGCGCCTGGCCTTCGCGACACACGGGACGGCCTTCGACAAAAGGTGATAATGTTGCCCAGCTGCCCTGCCTCAGTCCATTGGGCAGGGATGACTGTCTTGGCGCCAGGGCCATTACCCCTAGGCACTCACCCTTAGCTCCTGGGGCCCCAGCCTGTACTGTTCAAGTGTCCCGTTGACCCCACCTCCTGCCCAGAAATGGACATGAGACAGTACCCGCCGGTGTTGGGGGGTCGGCACAGGCGTGTTCTGCTTCCTCCAAATCTGAATTGGAGCCTATGTCCTGAACTTCACAACTCAGGGATTGAGAGGGTGTGTGTGTGTGTGTGTGTGTGTGTGTGTGTGTGTGTGTGTATTCCTATCATGCATTTGTAGAGGCCCTTGACAGTGGCGTGCTGTGCTTGTCGGAGAGGTAGACTGTAAAAGAAAAGCTTGGGGCCGGCTTCGCAGGCATTTCTCCCGCCTTACAGGTGACTGGTGGGTGAGTGGAGAGCAGCAGCAGGAGGGGGCGGGTCCTACTTTGGTGCCTCCTCTCTGGTTGGTCAGATGGCCTTGAGCTCTTCACTACCCCTCTCTGGGCCTCCACCTTCCAGGCCTGAGACAGCACACTTCCTCTTTATCCCCTGTGCCATGGTGTGAAGCCCCCGCCCTGGTAGAGATAGGCATCACATTGCCCAGCCCTCGACAGGGTGTGTGTGTGTGTGTGTGTGTGTGTGTGTGTCTGTCCTCCACTGCCTCCTAGAAAAGCCCTGCCTGCCTTGTTGAGGGGGAATTTATATGGCTTATAAACTTTTTTTTTTTTTTTTTTTTTTTTTTTTTTTTTTTTTTTGGGAACTTGCGCGACAAACAAAAAAAAGAGAGACAGAAAGCGAGAAATCACCCCCCTTCCCCCCCCCCGGGAGGATGGCCACACCGCAATCCCTTCTCCATTCTCCTCTTGGAATCTTGGGCACACACGCACACGCACCTGGTGTGAGTTTAAGCCACCGGGTCCAGGACTCAAACTGTGATCGACTACATGGGAGTCCAGCAACATAGCCATTACACTCACTGCTGGTCCCCGGTTTATAAACATATTAGTTCCCCCACCACCATATATATGTTTTAGCAAGGTTATACCACCTGGTATTTCTCTTGTTTTGAAGAAAATCTTTGCTTCTTTTGTTAAGATTTAGAGGTTGATGCTCTAAATGAGATGGGGCAGAGGGTGACTCTTTATCTGTCTGCATGATCCAAGAGGACTCCCTGGAGAAAGAGGAGGGACACAGACAGTTTATCCTTCAGCTTCCACGCTAGTAGAAGCTTGGAGGGGAGGGGATTTAACCTCGTGCTTTAGGAGCATCAGAGGCCTGTTCCTCCGCAGTGACATCATTGCTGCCTGGCCCAGTCCTTGAGGTTGCGTTTATGAGGATGGGTCTCTCAAAGACAAGGCCAGTGAAAACACAGTGGTGCTAGCACGGGAGTCAGCAGACTTCAGCCCAAGTGCCTAATGTGGCTGGCTGCCTATCTTATAAATAAAGTTTTATTGGAAGATAGCCATGCTTGTTCATTTGCACATCTCCTACGGCTGCTTTCATACGATTAATACAAAGGCAGAGTTGAATGGCTGCACCAGAGACTGTATGGCCCACAGAGCCCAAGAACTTACTATTAGCGCTCCAGAAAAAGTTTGCTAACTCCTGTTCCAGAGATGGGGTTCTCAAACGTGAGTATACACTAAAGTCACCCAGAGAGCTTGTTCAGTATGGATCATCAGTTACCCTTCCCCCTCTTTAGAGTGTCCTGATTCAGGAGATCTGGGATTGGGCTCTACGTTTCTGACAAGTTCCCAGGTGATACCAATGCTGCAGGTCCAGGAACCCCACTGTGAGAATCTCTCCTCATGGCCAGCGTCCTCAGCCTTGACTATACATTGGAATCACTCAGGGTTTTAAATTAAAAAAAACCCCTGGGCCAGCAGGTGGCATGGAGGTTGAGGTAGCTGGATCCCACATGGCCATATGCAGTTTGAGTCCTAGATCTGGTAGCTTGAGAGACACACGGGACATGTGCTTGCGTGCCCAAACTTCCGAGAGGAGACTGGAGTAGAGGGAACTGTGGCATGGCCACCCTCTTGGGGATAATTTCTCACTTTTTCTCTCACTCTCCCTTTCTCTCTAGTGAGCACATGTGTTCTATAGTAAAACTTAAACAACAAACAAACGAACAAATCCCAGACATGCTTATGTAATTGTTCTATGCATTGGTATTTTAATGTATATCCAGGATTGAGAGTGCCTATGGAAAAAGACACCTTCTTCTCAGCTCTCTGGGCCCAGGCAGGGAGCTCAGGCAGCCAAGGCTCCCCTTCTGTACTGGGGATTCTGGTTGATCTCTGAGTTTGACAACACCCAGGTACTTGCGCTGCACGGGATTCCTGGTCGGGATTTGAGCACCGCTGGGTTCAGATAATCCCAGACAGAGCTCCTTGGTCAGTGTGAGGGCTGAAGCCTGTGTTCATGGGGCTGTTTGCTCTTTGGGCCAGGCCCTACCACAGGCTGAATCCCGACTATGAGAGGCTGAAGATCCAGTGTGTGCGAGCCATGTCAGACCTGCAGAGCCTGCAGAACCAGCACACCAACGCCTTGAAGAGGTGCGAGGAGGTGGCCAAGGAGACTGACTTCTACCAGTGAGTGCAGCCTGCTTGTCAAAGGCTCCTGTCCCCATGGAGTGGCTGCTGTGTGCCCTTCCTCATGCCTGGACTTGGGCCAGGGTTCTGGTTCTGGCTCTTCTGTGCCGCTGAGCAAGCAGTCTGCCTTTTGCAAAAGGATTTGCGCCTTTGGGCCTTAGTTTTCTTAACTGTAAAACGAGGTTCTTAATCCTTCACATCATCTTATTGGCAACTTCAGGAGCCCATAGATAAGGAAGTGATTGAGAATGTAGGGCAGGATGTCAGGCAGATCATGGGCCTCTGGGTCTCAGTCCAGGGACTTAATGCAGCTTGTTTCTGTGGGATAGGTTGATGGGGCATGCTCTCCTTTGGTCTCCTGGTGCCCCTGTGGAGGTATTTGCTTGTCCACCTGCTGACCTTTGCCCAGGCCCTACTACTTGCAGTTGCCAGGTCTGTACCAGATAGGGGCCTGGTATAGACCCCTTTTTTCCTGGGAGATATATGTGCCCTAGTTGGTGTTCGGTTTGTAAAAGGTAGTAGTTCGCGTTTTTCTGGAATTTGGCTGCTGCTGATTTTGGCCTGCCTCTGTGTGCTGCATACCTGACTGCTGTTGGCTCGCAGCTGGCATGTTTAATGGGAGAGCTGGGACCCGGAGGGGCAGACGATGCCTTGAGGTAGGGGTAGGTCTGCTGGAGGCTGGCTGAGGCTCACCATGTGTGTACGTGTGTGTATGTGTGTGGGGTTTCAGCACACTTCACAGCCGGCTCCTGAGTGACCAGACCCAGCTAAAGGATGATTTGGACATGCTGAGGCGGGAGAATGGGCAGCTGCTACGGGAGCGGAACCTGCTGCAGCAGTCATGGGAGGACATGAAGCGGCTCCACGAGGAGGACCAGAAGGAGATTAGTGACCTTCGGGCCCAACAGCAGCAGGTAGGCCAGGCGACTGGGGGTGGACCATGGTCACCATCCACTCACCCATTTATTCTTCTATTTGTTCCTGTGATCATTTAGCAAGCATTTCTGCAACGCTGGCCTTGTGCAAGACACTGGTATATCTAAGCACTCAGCCCCGACTGGGGATGGACCATGGTCACCACCCACTCACCCATTTATTCTTCTATTTGTTTGTTCCTATGATCATTTAGCAAGCATTTCTGCAACGCTGGCCTTGTGCAAGACACTGGTATATCTAAGCACTCAGCCCTTACCTTGTAAGCTGCAGTCCAATGAGGGAGATCAGTATTAAGTGATCACCAGTGCCAGGTAACATTTTGAGTGATGCCAGGGCCACCAAGGAGGAGATACTCTGGGGTTTGCTATGTGGTGTGTCATAAAAGGATCTGACGGTCTGAGTTTGAGGGGACTAGCCTGCTTCCTTCGTGTAGGTCTTGTGCTATTACAGATAGCGGAAGCTTGGAAGCAGGAAAGCCCTGTGCATCCATGAGATGGAGCAGTCGTCATCATTATCTGTTTGGGTGGGAGCAGGGCCTGTTGCTCCTGGTATGCTTTGTGTTCCAAACTGGTTTCTTGGCTTTGTTCCTGGTTCACACTGACAGAGGCATGAATAGCAGGCTCGTCACAGCCAGTCTGCTATGAATGACACAGAAAGTTCTGCCCCTCTTGAAACTTATAGTCTGGGCTGGTTGAGACTGCCTAGGGGTATGGAAAGGACTAAGGATGCATTTTGGGCCTGTAGGTGGCTGGATGTTTAGAATTAGAAGGCTTTCCCAAGAAGAAGCAGAATACCCTCCAGCACAGCTGCAGCTCTAAGCTGAAAACTAACAAGCCCATCAGCAGTCAGTTAGATCCCTAACCTAAAGCAGAGCTCTTGAGGCTTACTTTTAAAACAAAGCTGGTGATGTAATAACCTGGACTCATCTGTTAATTTAGCATAACCTTACCTTCATTACTTTTTGACTTATAGTTTAAATTTTTTAAATTGTGAGACTATTGGGTTGTCGAGGAAGTCATGGCTCATTTTTGCATAGAAAAACACAGCATGACTTTCCTGACAACCTAATACCATAAACTTATCAAAAATTTGTGAGTACAGCACAAAGGTTCCCCCCACACACCCGTGTCATTCAAGAGTAAGTTATCCGGGGACCAGCAGATGGCGTCACTGGATTCCCACATAGTCGACTGTGGTTTGAGTCTCGGACCCGGTGGCTTCAACTCATGCTGGGTGTGTGTGCGTGCGTGCCCAAGATCCTGAGAGGAGAATGAAGGAGAAGGGATTGCGGTGTGGCCATACCTCTCTGGGGGTGTGTTTTCTCACTTTCTGTCTCACTATCTCTCTCTGTCATTCCGGCAAGCATAGGTACCCTATACAAAAACCTTTCTCCACCCCCACCCCCACCCCCCAAAAAAAGAAAAGAAGTTGCCCTGTCACTCCCAAATACAGTAATGTGTATTTCTTACAAGGATAGCCTCCTATACAGCAGAAACACAAATGTAAACATTAAGAACTTAATGTTGGAACCATCTAATTGTCAGACTCCAGTGAGTTTTGCCAGTCTCAAGATTGTCTATTTTTTTTTTTTTTTTGCCAGAGAGTATGTATACTCACCAGAGAGAAGGAGAGAGAAAGCACTCCTCTTGGGGTTTGGTCATGCTGCAATCTTTTCTCCATTTCTTCCTTCATTAGGGATTCTGCATGTGCATGCACACACGCCCAGTGTGTTTTCCAAACCACTATGTGTGAACTTGAACCATGGGGTTGGCCACGTGGGATCCAGCTGCCTTAATCACCAGGCCACAGACCAGCCTGAGAGTAACCTGTTTTGTGTTCTGTTTTGTTTTGTCTGCCAGGCTGTCCATGTGTCTGTCCGTTACTCTGCAGACTTGTGGTTTCCTATTTTATTCAGCAGGTTATAATCCATTAGGGCCAGCAGGAGCCCCTTCAGACTTGCCTCTGTCATTTTGACATGTCACCCTTATTATTGAGCTCTTCCTTGCACAAACACAAGAAGATACTTCAGGCGCACTGTACAGTTCCCCTGCCCTAGCCTCTGCAAATCGGCTGTTGCTCTGCGGCACCCTCAATCCTCTTCATGGAGAATGATATTGGGACCAGGGTCTGAGTGCTGAGTGTGCTCGTAACTATCGAGTGTTGGGTGTCACTGCTCTCAGGCCCTCTCAGTAGACAGAAGTAGGGAATATCTGATGTACACACACACACACACACACTTGGTGTACGACCTGAATTTCTGTGCCTAGATATGTATTTTGAAACCCATGAGTTCACACTCACAGTTCCAATTCTTATCACAAAGTACAGATTCATTCTAGTTTTCTCCCTTTTAAAAACAACTTTGAGAAACCTGGTTCCTATCATCTATAATCTGTTTTCTCGTTTCACCAGTTTCCCATGTCTAACCTCTTGTGCCCTCCACAGTCTTCTTCCCCTGCCACCCTCTCTAGGCCCTCACATCCCAGGCTGTCCCTTTTCCTCCATACGACCTCTCCTCATCCTCATCCCAAACAGGCGTTGATAACCCCTCGAGGGGCACCACTCCCCCCACAGTATCACCTCCAGTCTTGCTTTGCCTCACCCAATAGCTTTAAGGTGAAATTATTGAGAAAGAGGAATTGCAGGGCTGTCTTTACATTTTTATACTATTGGGTTTTTTAAATTGCAAAATTAATATACACTTTATAACAAATAACTAAAGAATCAAAATAATGCAGAAGGCCCGACTACTTCGGTGAAGTAGTAATACACAACTCGGCATGGCCAGAAGCCTGTGACTGACTCTGGACTTGAATCCTAGAGTTGGTCCTGGAAACACTCTGGATACTTGCACAGGACCCAGGATCCTGTGGAGCTAGAGGGCTGAGGAACAAGGATTGCTACATGATGAGACCCCGTAAAGGATACGTCTCCTTGTCCCCCTCCCCCTGCTCTGCATATATATATATATATATATATTTTTTTTTTTGTAAGATTTTTGCTATAGGGGGCATGTGCTGTCTGAGAGACACAGATAGAGGGAAAGTGAGAAATAATCCCCTAGAGGGGAACAGCCACTCCACAATCCATTCTCCATTCTCTCAGGATTTTGGGCACATACACAAACCCAATGTGATTTATAAGCCACCAGGTTTGGGACTTAAACTGTGGAGCTGGTCATGTGGGATCCAGCACCTTACTCAAACCATAGTCAGCCATGTTTTATAACCACCTTGCCACCGGCTGGCCCCCATGTGTTCTTGATATTTGAAAAAAACACAAAAATTTAAAAATAAAAACATTTCTTTAGTCTCACTCCATAGAAGTATTTAACTACCAAAAGTGAAAAGTTTTATTTCATGTAATGAAGCCATAGATTAGATTCTGTTGCTATGTTGCTAACTTGTTTTGTTTTGTTTTGTTTTTTTGTTAAATATCATGTTCATCGTTCTATTTTAGTACAAATTCCACTTCATTGTTTTTAACTGCTGCAGAGTATTGAGTTACATAGAAGCACTGTAATTGATTTAACCAGTCTCCCATTGCCTGACCTGCATTTTCCCATTATGAACTATATGGTATTGAAAAGCCTCCTTCCATTGTTAATTTTCTTTGTCTGATGCTGAAGCCTTGCTGATATTCAGTACCCAGGGCAAGCTCCTTGAGGTCCTTCAGAGGCACAGCCTTTGTGCTATGGGAAGTCTTTATGAGCCCTCTGATTAGGGGAACGGGTCGTATGAGTCAGACTTAGCTGCTGTGGGGCCAGAGGTTGGCGTTTGCTTGTAAGTCTTGGTGGAATCCTGGTCATTGAAAAGGTTTTGGGAAGGGCGATCAGTGCAGGGCCACAGGAGTCCAGCTGGGCAGAGAGCCCTGCAGCATAGCAGGGAGACTCCTCACCTGCTGTGTGACCTCAGAGAAGCTGCCGCACCACGCTCTGCTTTCCTCTGCCCATCGCTCAGAGGTCCTGGGCGATGGGGGAGCATCTCACAGACATTGCTGTGAGGATGACATGAGGTAGATCCCACAGAGAATGCGAGACAGGCTCTGGTTCGTGCCACCTTGAATGCATTGCATTCCCCTTGCAGGGACCCTTTAACTCCATGTCCCCAGAACTTCCTAGAGCAAATGAATTTAAAGACTGTGAGTTTTCTATTTTTTTTTTAAAGTGGCAAAATCATTTGTTTACCTTGAAAGAAATCCTTTAGGAGAGTCCAGTCAGTGTGTAAAGCAGGTAAGGAGGGGCTGCGGTGGTGAGTCAAGGCACCAGGAAGTACCCAGGGCCGGCAGAGGTTCATGCCCCTGTCTTCCCGGGCTGTGAATCATGACTGCCCGGCCTGGGAGGTGGGCATCCCCCACCCCCAGCATTCATAGCCTGCCTCCCTTGCTTATTGGCCTGCTGACACTTTTTTCACTCTGGTCTAGACTCCGCTCAGTCAGCCTTTGCCTTTGGGTTTAGCTTGGATTTTATTCTTCTCTGGAGAGTCATAATCGCAGATGTGTGCAGAGTGGGGCTCAGTGTAGCAGAGTTAGTCTCAGCGTCGTTGTGGACGCTTCGTGATACTGTGTGTGAAGCACGGGCATGGTTACTGCTGTTCCTTCTGTCAAATACAGATTAAAATGTGCCACATCGAGGATGTGGAGAAATTGGAATTCTTATCCATCGCTGGTGGGAATGTAAAATGGTATAGCCACTGTGAAAGACAACCTAGCAATTTCTCAAAAATTTCAGCAGTGGAACTCCTAGGTCTCTACCCAAGGTATGTGTTGTGCGGCAGAGATTTGAGTGTTTATGGCAGCCTTATTTGTAGCGGCCAAAAAGTGGAAACAACCCTCTTGTCCACTGGCTGAAAAATGGAGGAATAAAATGTGATCTATTCTTACCATGCAATATCATTCAGCTGAAAAAGGAATGACGTGCGGGTGCAGGCCGTGGTGTAGACGAGCTTCAGAAACCTGAGAGCAAATGAATGTGTGAAGC